ACTTGAAATTTTAAGTATGTGTTCTTCTCATTAAGACGCACTTAATAAAATATATAAAAAAATTATTGGTAAAAATAAAATGATCAAAATATCTCTTGAAATTTTTTGAAAATATTTTGGATAATTTATTTTATATAAAATATTTTTTAATATTTTTTTAAGATATATTTATTTTTTATGAATATATGTCTAAATTTCAAATGATTTGAATTTATAAAAAAAAAAACTAAACTCAAATACTACCGGATATATATGATGGTCATATTTACCGAACATATGTGATGGTTGGATATTTACCGAACATCTGTGACGGTCGGATCGACCCGTAGCCAATCTTAAACGTACATTTTTTTAATGTAGCATGTTCATGTGAGCTACGGGGCTAATCCCCTCTTTTACCAATTCTACCATGGCTTAGATTTCTTTTATCTTTCCTTGTGCCCTCTCTCACTAGACCTTTTTCTCTCTCTAGACGTGTATCATCTTTCATGGTATGGCCTTGCTACTACACAGTTTCTCCAATGTCTGTTATTTTTCTCTCTCTAGTTTAAAGGTCTGTCTTGACTTATTTTATGTATATTTGGGTTTGCCCCATTACTTTCTTTCTCTACAATTTTTTCTCTCACTTGTTTCATGGTGTGCTTTGCTACTGCTACTTGTTACTCTGATATGCGTTATTGTTTCTCCATCTTGCTATTTCTATACCAGCTCAAAACCTGTCTATGTTTTTTTTTTTTGATCGAATCCTGTGTTTGTTATGCCCATTTTGTTTGCGAATATTGGTTTTATTGTTGTTGAATATTACTACATGCTTAATGTCTTTTCTTTTCTTTTTTATTAAGGCGGGATGATTTTTGTCGGGTCTAAATGGTTCGCGAACAAGTTTTCTTGTTCTTGAGCATTACCCAATTCTTAGAATGTTAGCTTCTTTTTTGCTTTTTTGCAGAATTTTTATAGTTACTTAGAGAATTTGCTTTCATCTTTTAGTTCATCTATCTCTCTCTCTCTCTCTGCGCCATTGATGTAAATTATGCACTGCAAATAATCAACTATATGGTGTTCATGTTATTTACCCATTAAAAAAAGGTCCCTGCTTCTTGCCCTATTTGATGATTATATATAATTCATATAATTAATAGAAATTTTTTGTTTTTAATTTTTTTTTGTTGCTTCTCGTTTTACCAGTTATCACTAGTTCTATATCTGATGAAATATCCTATAAAATTGTAAAAGTTTAAAAGAACCAAAAAATGATAAATATGGGGATGTTCATGAATATAACCCATTCATGGTCTGGCCAGAAAATGACTCTTTCACAGGAAGGAGATTCTTGATTCTAAGATGTAATTTTTGTGAAACAGTAAGATCCAACCGGAGACTTGCTAGAGTGCTAGTTGGAGTGCTGAATTTGAACTTTGTTGAGAACTCATTGTGGAACCTATATTGGGGGCGGTGGGAGGTGTAAATGGGGATGATTAAGGAGCATCTTCTATGTCTTTCACAAACTCATGTTGTATCTGTCCTTTAGGAAAAGCAAAGGTTTCTTATGAGAATTTTAAGATTAAATATCTGTCTGCTATACCACTCATACGTATAAGGACGACAATGACAAAGCTTGGTGGATATGAGATCACAAGCATGAGCTTGTTGATGTAGCTTGTGCTTTGAGTGAATGAATTATGGGAATTAATTTCTTTAAGCTCATGTTTTGGGAGTTCTGACTGTATGACATTTCCTAAGAGTGGAAAGTTTCGTGGAATCGCTATAATTACTTTCAAGGTTTGGTATTTTCTTCCTTTAGTGGATTGTTCTACATGCTTATTTTTGTTGGGAAAAATGTAAGATTGATGGTATGTTGCTTTTCCATATTCTTTCAGATGACTGCTTTTATAGACTGACTTTTGAGTAGAATGGAAAATTCCCTTTCCTATATTAATTTAAAGGAATTATATCGTATGATAACAAGCTGAGATTGGGTACAATCATAGTAAATCATGATGCCTGTTAGTCACACAAATTAGTGAGAGTTTTAGAGACCAGAATGCTAGTTAGGTGGATTTCTGCATTCATATGGATCCATGACTAGTTGCTAGAAAGGTATTGTTACAGGAAATGTTGTTTTGCTGAGCATAAAAAATTTCACTGTCTCATTTATGTGTTGATGCATTTTGAAGACATTTGTACTATTTCCTCGAGGGACCATCAAGTTAATTGTTTATATTTTACTGAGTAAGGGAAGCCATGATTTTTGGAATGCGTATGATCATTTATTTCATTTTTTTTCTTTTTTTTTTTTAATTTACATGGTCATAAGTTATATCTTTTAAAGGCTTTTTAAGATTAACATCCCCATAATGAATATAGGGGCCATCACTTGGTGTGATGGTAAAAGGCACGGGTAGCTAGTGGAAGAGCCCGGGCTCGAGTCCTGGGAGCGGCCACTTTTTGCATAAGCCAAAGGTTAGAACTGTTTCCAGTACACCCCTCCCGGGACCCTGCTTAGGCGGGACCAGCACCGGGTTACGGCTCTTTTATCCCCATAACGAATATCTAGCAACATAGTTATTATTGTTACTAATTTCTAACCATGAAGTTACTTGATTTACTAAATAAGGCAATCCATGATTTTTGGATTGCTTATGATCATTTATTTCTTTTTTTCCTTTTTTTTCTTTTAATGGACATGGATGTAGGCATTTTTCTTTTTCTTTTTTTTAATTTACCATTCACTATCATAACTATCTAAGCACATGGTTGTCTCTAACAACATAGTATTAATGGAGCCAAACTTTGGAAGGATTGTGGAGAAATTTGAACCTTGCATTTATTGATAGATGAAAACTCTTCGGCCTTTTTAGCATAACATGCATATGCATTTGGGGGATGTTGTAGATGACGTCCATTATTTTCAAACTTTTGAGGCTTGTTAACTTGTGGATCTGGAGTATATTTTAGGGTAAATTGTTTACAAGTTTCATTCAGCCGCATAAGCCCACTACTTGTGATGCCTATATGTCATTGTGCGAACTAATCATGGTAATTGTAGCCTTTAGTAGTCAAATGGAGATTATCCTCTGGTTTTATTATGAAAATCACTCTTCAGATTTCTTGAGTTCTTATGTAAATGTTGAGGCATAAGCTCTTGCAGCTTTGTGTGTTTTGAGTGGTTACACACATCAAACACTTAGAGTGAGGGGAATATTCTAACATGTGCCACAGAGACTCTTAAAGTGCACCCTGCATGTCAAAGTCAAAGCTCTGTCATACCATGATGCTATTTTCATATTGCTTGAACAAGGAGCAACTTAGAGTTTGGGAGCTTCATTGTGACATTTTTCAGTTGCTTATTTCTTCATCCAAATACATTTTTGCATCTCAATTCAAGGATGCTTTAAGAGCACTGAATTACGTTAAAAATCTGCCTACGGGGATATGTCTAGTTATGACTCAGACTCGCCCATTGGGCATGCTGAAGTTCTCTAACAACCTTTAGCAGAACTTTACAAAATAAAAACTGCAATGATCGGAATGATATAATCATCTTTTGACATTTGATTTCTCAAATTTTTTTTAAAAGAAAATTTCATATATTTGACTTGGGTCCCATAGTTGTTGGCTATTGTGGGCCCATGACTTGTGGGCTATGTGCTGGTAATAATTTACATTCTTGCGCACTTGTATTTGTGACAAAAAAGATTCTAAACGGGCTGCATAATTCTATTGTTGAATTTCTTAGTCATACATTTCACTCAAAAGAAGTTCGCTTACGTTGGTAGTCCAACATTCAAAAAGGTACCATGTATGTCATATAATACTTACTGGTAAAATCAATTGAAGAAACTTCAATGTGCATTTGAGAGGATCATTTTGACCACAGCTGTATCCATGTTTCTCATAACTATAGTAATTGTTTCCTCTAATTCACTAGGATTAATATAGAATGTAAGAACCGAGTCAAAGGGTGCAGTTGTTTTTTTCACAAAATTTGTGTTCAACGAGTCCATAACTGTGGAATGCATAGGCATTTATCATGTGTGGGTCTCAGTTTAGAATTTTTCAAGTCCGCATCTTATAAAGATTGACTGCATATTATTTTTTAAATAAGGCATATTTTAATTTTTTTCGCTTTATTTTTACTTTAAATCTGCCAAATTATTTTAAACAAAATTTGTAATTACAAATATATAGAAAGTCTCATATTCTTTATATGAGACTTTCTTAAAATATATGCTGGTCCACTTTATTTTTTAGGACTTTCTTGCATTAATATTATTTTTTGTCACCCAATCCATAAATGTAAGGAAACCACATTGGTGAACATCTATTGTGCAAGGAGTTTGTAAGGAAAGCAATAAAAACCCATGGGTTTCACCAATGTTCGAAAATTCGGCCACCGAATCGCCTAAAATGCCTAGGTAGGGCACCTAGGCAGTGCCTTTTAGAGAGAGAAAAACTCCCTAAACACCTCTATTTTGTGATTTATCAAAAGATTGATAAAGTTTTTATTTCTTCCGAAATTAAAAGCAATGCTTCGTGGTAGTTTTCAGAGCTTCTAGTGGTAAATAGTGAGGACTTTTGGCGATCGAATAGATGAGGTTTGGGCTGACATCGTTTTCATTTTGATATTTTTAGAGCATTATGCCATTATGATATTTGAATAAGAGTTTTGAGTTTTTTTGCTATAACGTATTATGTTTTGAATCATTTGATTTTTCTTTTTTTAACTTTTTTTTCCTTTTATGATATATTTAAATATTTGTAGTTGAAAGATAGATTTTTTTTGGTGATTAATTGATTATTGACTCGTTTGGACAATGAAATTGGTCTTATATCGAATTCTTTTATGAATAATTGGTTCTTATTTTTTACAACGTGTGATGTTTTGATATCCTGTTAATTTTGTTTTACTTTTTTGATATTTGTACATATTTGTAGATGAAACATTTACCGATTTGGATATATATTTGTGAATAGTCATAAACTTTGGATTAAATTGATATTTTGTGAATATTTGATATCCAAAACCAAATCTTATGGATATTAATTAATAAATAATAATTAATATTATAATTCTTATCTTAATTAATAGTTCTTACCTGTCCCTATTCTTGCGTAGGTGGCCAGGCCCCCAAATCGCCTAGGCGCTTTCTTGAACATTGGTTTTCACTAAGTCAAACCAAATGTATGGACATTATTGAATGATGATGACTGATACTTATAAATCCTAAAAAGTTCAGTATAGTTGTTCAAATTCACAAGTGTAACTAATATAAAGCATGTGAACCGCTATATCATATAGTAATTGTTTAACTAAAACTAGCTCCCCCATGGCCGGTCCCAAGCCGGTTATGCCAGTCCCAAGCCCGGATAAAGGACGAGGGTTGTGTTAGGTAAGGCAGCCAGCGTAAAATTTTGCCACAACTTTTCATGAATCTTGAACCTATGTTTGGCGGAACAAGATTCGTGTAGCCGACCTAAATATTTAGGATAAGGCTCGGATGATGATGATGATGCACTCTAATCCTTTATGTTCATAATGTTTTCTTAATTAGGATAGACAAAGCTCTTGGCCGATTTTATGGAATCACTATTGAGAATTTTGAACTAGGTGTGTAATGTTCATGCTGCTACCCCTTTTGTGTCTACGTCGTGCTTCTTGCTTTGCCTGGGGAAGTGGTCCAGAGTCGTACATAAATTTACATGAGCTTTTCCAAGTTTGTATAAGACCAAAGCGGCCAATTCTGATTGGCAAATTTGCTCACAATCTTTGACGTGCAAAATCCTAGAAAAATATCATGTTGTGAAAATTGGATTCTTTGCCTAAGTACATTACATTCACATGTATGAAGGGAATTTGATCAATCGATGCTTTGTAAATGATATCAATTTACACACCCAAATCTCTTCTTGTTCTGCATATTTTTTAGTTAAAATGTTTGCTCTGTAACTTGGTTGGAGTGAAGAACTCGCTATGTTGATTATGAGTACGAACTATGAAGTTGCATATGAAAGAAATAGTGTGCAGAATGGAAGTTGCAGTGTAAAGAATAATGGGGACCACTGGAATCAAATGTGCATGGGTAGTTCATTTTGGGATGAACAATTACTCATTCTTTATGGCAGTTGTGGAGTTGCCCCTTTCTATGTATGCTCTCTATAAGTAGGCGCTTAGGTGGCCAGGGGGGTCCAGGGCGCTCAGTGCTTAAGTGACCGCTTAGGTGGGCACCCAGAACCTGAGCAGCCTAGTAGAAAGAAAAATGTCTCTGTAGTCTAACAATATAAGTATAATTGTATAACACATAAGAGTTAGGGACTTAGGGCACATCAAATGTATAGTACACATGTCCACGTAGCACACACTCCTCCATGCTCCATAAGTCTATATCTACTTATCCTTAGTTTGATAGTCCACACTTTCCACGTAGTGTTTTTGGGTTTTTTTCTCTCTAAAATAGGCTCTAATGGGGTTTAGGTTTCAAATGAACCTAAAACTCACGATTTTACCCCTTTTACATTAAAAGAAATGACCAAAAAATGCCCTCAACGAGGAGCATTTCCGCCCCTGGGGACCCGTCTAGGTGAGTTCCCTGGCGCCTAGGCGAGTGCCCAGGGACAACCTGCCTAATTTGGCCACCTAGGCCTGGGCGATGCGCCCAGGCTTTTTGGACCACCTAGGAGCTGGGTGGTCTGTTTTTTAAAAAATGGGCAGGATAGTAGCTTGTTCATAGTGCATTGGGAGCCCTTTATAGTCAGTAATTCACTTTTCCTGAGTAACCACAAGTTTTCTGCTGCTGAGTGTTTTTAATTTGAAATGATTTGTCAAGTGACCAGGATGATTAGATTATAGAATAATTAGGAGAAGTTACACTCTAGGCTGATGGGCCATATAGGATTCTTGTTATGTTCCTGGTGTAATTAGTAAGCTTCTCTTTGTTAGGTTAATTTTAGGTTAGAACTTAACTGATCTGTCTTTTTGGCGTAAAAACTTCATTAAGGCTACAATGATGAGTATATTTCTTTCTCGATGGGAAAACAGGATGAGAAATAAAATTCTTACACTAGGTTCCCTCAAAGGCTCAAAACTACTACCATTTTATACTAGATTCTTATATTCCATAACCATATATACCATGCTGAATTTGTCATGAAAAGCATTATATGATGAAATAAATGTTTGCATTTCTTTATTCTTGATGATGCATGTAATGAGGGTTATCAACGTAGTATGTCACTAAGGCATCCATCTGTTCTTTGATGTGGTTTCCATTGTATCTTGGGTTTTGGATCACATACATGCTGATGTATCAGGAAAGGGTTGCATTATGTAGTTGTCTATGCATTCAAACCTGTAGTTCTCATTGATGCTTGTCATGTAATGATATCTTGTTCTCTCTTATGAAATATGAAATTTTAAGTGCTTAGAAAAGTTCAAGTACACTCCTTCAAATTCTCTTCATGCAAATCAATATCTAAAGATATCAGTCTTGGTATTTAAATAATCTCATTTATCATGGATGCTACTAGTCTGGCTGGGTGATGTGTGCCAATTAACAGCATCCAGATGGGGACATGGAATTTTTTGTGGTTCCTAACAAAGAAGGTAGCAACTGGAGCACTAATAGGCATCACCGTTTCTGATCGATTTGCAAGCATTGTTTCCATCAATGGAATGTCCATGCACCCAACCTTGACACCAGGATCTACAACCTTGATGGGATGGTTGAAAGGTGATCAGGTTTTACTGGAGAAATTTTGCCTTGATAAATACGAGTTCTCTCATGGTGACATTGTGGTATTCAAGTAAATCCCCATCTTTCTCATTTTGCTTTTCTCTTCAATTCAAAGTAGTCTTTGGGATAAGGGATGAACAGAATTTGTATTATAGATGTGTTCCGATGCTTTTTGGTAGTCAACTCTTATAAGCCAACCGGCGTATGCTATAAACCAGTTTAAAAAGTATGGCTATGTTGGACCCCACATTTTGCACACATGTAAATCATCTAGGGGATCAAAATAATAATAGATAATAATGAGAAATTGTATTCGCACAAGAAAAGGGGGAAAATGAGTCTGCCATCTTTTATGAATGCAGTCTGTATGCTGGTAAACGGTGGATCCGGGCCTTCAAGAGCTCAAACTCAATTCATCTTCTTCTTCTTTTTCTGTTTTTTTTTTTTTTTAAATTGTTTATTTCTTGAATCAAAGATGTGCAAAATTTCAGCCCAAGAAATCCCTCTAGCATTGATGCTTTAGAGCTGAGCTTATTCTGTTGCTATAACCTCATAGAATCTTTTCCCTTGTTATATAGGTCCCCATCCAATTACAAGGAGACCTGCATTAAGCGATTGATAGCCTTACCAGGAGATTGGATGAAGGTGCCCGAGACATATGAGATAATCGAGATTCCTGTAGGTCATTGCTGGGTCGAGGGTGATAATGCTGCTTCTAGCTTAGATTCGAGGACATTTGGACCGGTATTGTGGTTTAATTTTGCCTAGTTTATTCCTTTTCCATTCTATAATTTTCTGGTGAGTTTATTTCCCAAGGCTGAATTATGAATATACTGCAACACCCATTCTTTATTTTGTTTTTGTAAGGCCATCCCTGATTTTTCTAGACCAAAATTTGAATTTAAACTAGAATTCATTGCTCACTTGCGAAATGCAAAGCATTCAGAATGTTACAAGTCACTTTTGAAACTTGGCTTTAACATGTTGATTTTCTTGCTTCTGAATTGAGAATCATTTGTCATTGTGTTACTGTGATTTTAGATCCCATTAGGTCTAATTCAAGGGAGGGCAGTCTGCATAATTTGGCCACCGGAAAGAGCTTGCAAAGTAGAAAGAAGGATACCAGAAGGAAGGATTTCATCATATTGATGTAGCCATGGACCAAGCCCATCTGAATCTCCATTATAGTTTTCAAGATTGGTTCAATTCGAGGGAGGTAGTTCTGATAAAGTTCAGCAATTTTGCCTGTATTTTTTTTGAGATTAATGGAGAAAGGTTCTATTTTTGAATTGTATTGTGATATTTAATAATTGAATTATTGGATTTTGATTCATTGAAGAAACTCTCTCTTTCTCTCTCCAGCCAAGATAAAAGACTCTCTCTCGCATGTGGAGAATACATTTTATTGATGAGGTTAATTGCCAAAGGTGGCATGCTAGATTTAATTGTGGATGTCACAATTCTATCATTGGATTTTACATTTAAAGTCTCTCTCTCTCTCTCTCATCT